ATAATAAAAAAATAATATTGACAATAATATAATATAATAATAATAATAGTGTAATATTAATAATGAGTAATAATTAATAATAATAATAATAATAATAACTAATAATAATAATAATAATAATAATAATAATAGAGCAATTGCAATAATAGAATCGCATCGCGGAGATCAATAATTGGCGACTAGAATTGTATCGACACCACGATGCGCGCGCAAAGGTATAATGATAGAAAAGTCGGCGATTTACACGTGATACCCCGTAAATGCCACGAATCGTAATAATCTTAATAATCGCAAAGATAATCCACGGCCAAGGCAATAATAAACACGTTACGTATTCCGTAATGATCCGATAATAATTGACAATCGCGCGTTTGGCAACAGATTCGACGGCGGGGATAATAACTGTCGTATGCCAATAATAATTAATGACAATAATAATGTGACTGACATCACGACGATACACGAAATAGCAAACCTTATTACGTATCCCCTTACTTAATTAATAATAATAATAATAATAATATAATAGCAATAATAATAATATATATAATAATAATGAGATAATAATAATAGTTATATCCCTGTGCTCCGCGCACGTGTTCTCCCGTATGTCACGTCTGTGTGTCTGTCTGTCTCTCTCTGTGTGTGTGTGTGTGTGTGTGTGTGTGTGTTCGTGCGCATGTCTTATGTATATTCTATACATACGTGTGTGTATGTGTCTCCTTAATGGCTAGTAGTGTTAATTATTACATAATACGCTGAGTGTTTAACTTGTTTTACACGCGATGCGAAGTAGCAAAGGTATCCAGAGGCCATGACTAGACATTCAATCGTATAAGTTTCTTGTCTTACGACTTACAATAGTAATAACAAGACGGCGGGCGGCACCGGAAAAATGGCCGATGAATAAAACACTCGACTTAATTATATATTCATATATATATAATATATTATTACATATAGCTTCTACTCTCTCTCTCTCTCTCTCTCTCTCTCTCTCTCTCTCTCCCCCCCCTCTCCCTCTCTGTCTCTCTCTTCTCCACGTTGTTCTCCTCCTTCTGCTGCTCACAAGCTCCATTTCGCTTCTCTAACGTAGCTACTCTTACTTTCAGTATTAACTCCTTGAACGTATCAAAGGAGATTCTCGGCGCCCCTCTCCTCCCTCCTTTTTTCTCGTTCGACGATGAAAATCAAAGAAGAGGGACAAACGATCGACGATATTACGGTACAGACATCATGGAATACTGGAGGCTTCTTAACACTACACCACATAGCAAAACTTCGACTCTCTCTCTCTCTCTCTCTCTCTCTCTCTCTCTCTTCATGCATTCCTGCACTCTATCGTCTATCTCTTCCGCTGTCGCTCACACCGCTCTCACGCATTCGTTCGCTCTCGTTAGAGTTAAATCTTAAAAACGCACGAGATCTAAGCCTAGAAAAACGTACCTTATATGTATAATTATTACAACACATACCGTACCACGTGCTGTGCCCAATCAACGGCCACCAGCGATCGTTCATTCGATCTGCCCCTCGCCGCTCTCTTTCGTCTTCCTTTTCTCCTCACTTCCTCCCTGTCTCTCAGCCTGCCTTCCTTCCTTTCCCCGTAAGAAAATAATGGCGGATCGTCGGGAAAAGGAAACCGTATTTCGTTCGCACCCCAGACGCGCCGGTGCGATCCACGCGCTCCTCTCTCCTTTCTCTCCGCGTTAGTTTCCTCTTATTAGAATGTGTTAGTTAATCGCAAGTGGTCCACGCGAGATCTGTGTGTGTTACGACACCATCAATTACGATTACCTCGTCCCGATGACTACGTACGTTCACCGGGAAGGCGCTAATATATTGTTTCGCGGCTATCGCGAGTGTGTGTGTGTGTGTGTGTGTGTGTCTGCCTCCCTTCTTCCTCTTGGTCGGAACCGGGGTACGCGCGGCGGCCGCGTGCCCCCCGGCTGTGTTACTATTTGATTAGCGGACATGCAACTCCAGAGATACCGTAAAGCGCGCGCGTCCGGCGAGAGAGATCGGCGATTCGAGAAACGCGAGCCGAGCTCGAGAGCCGCGCGCGTCTTTCCCGTTTCTCCGCGGCGATTCGAAGAGGATCCTCCGAACAGGAGACTCTCTCTCTCTCTCTCTCTCTCTCTCTCCCCTCGCGCGCCTTACGGTACGTGAAAGATTGAAAAGTTCGCGGTTGCCGCTATAAATTCGGGAAAATCTTACATAAAACTTAGACAAAGTGAAGACTCTGGATGGCGTGATCGGAAGATCGACAGCGATTCTTCGACGAGGAGGAAAAAGACGCGAGGATAATATCTCCCTTTTTTTTCTTATTCCCTCTTTCTCCCTCTCTCACTCTCTCTCTCTCTCTCTCTTTCTCTCCCTCTCTCTAACTTTTTTGTTTCTAATGGAAACGCGAAGGGGGTCGGTCGCGCCGTTTTCGCCATCACGCTTCAACACACGGACGATCCATTAAAAACTTTTCGCGAGGTAAGTAAGCAGCAAGAGCGGTTCAACGATCAACGATAACTGTCCATTCAACATCGAGTAACGTCTTAAGATCTACTTAAATTCCCGAGGGGGGAACGGCGCGACCGTCCCGGCAATTTGCTCGTCGATCAGGCTGCAATAATGAAAAAACTTGTCGCCATCTTTCTTCTTTTTCTTTTTTGTACTTCGAACGTACACCTCGACTTCTTTTTTGTTTTTCTTCTCTTCGAGCCCTCCCATTCTTCCCTTTCCGCCTTTCGCCTTTTGTACCTGTGATTCACGCTGCGAATAATTCGCGTCGTTTTATCTAGGCGACCCCGTCGCCGTCGTCGTTGTCGTCACGTCGACGTCGACGATGGCGGCGGCGCGGGGCTTTCTAAAAAAAAAAAAAAACGTCGCTGTCTCATCGATCGTGACCGCAAAAAATCAAGACTCGAAGCAACCTTGTGAGAAAAAAGCTCAGCTTTGCAGGCTGCGAGTCTCGACTTCTTCGAGGGCAAGAGTTACCCCCTCGGACAAGAATGCCACCGATATATTATGCATATCCGTGCTTTCCTCGAATGAGGGCGGGACACCCTTCGCCCTTCGCGGATCTTTCCGTCTTCGATCTGTACTTTCCAGAATTGCATGCTCGAGCAACGGGAATGAGCTCGCACGTCGAGAAGCTCGAGCCGCCGCTCGAGCTCGAGTTGCTCGAGAGCCGTGCTCGCCGATGCGACGGGCATAACAACCCCGAAGATCGGCGGGATCCGATCTTCGGGGACATTCGAAGCTCCGGGGATTAAAACGCTCTCCTCCTCCTTTCCTCCCTCTCTCTCTCTCTCTCGTTCTTTCTCTTTCGCGTATCATCTCTTCCTCTTCCATGGACCTCTTTGTCGGCCGAACCGTCGATTGGCGCACGTCGCGCGCGGATACGTATACACCACGTTTAATCATGCTAGTGATATATGCGTACGATAATCATAAATTCGCGTATATCGCTTACGGACTAGGAAATCGCGCGGAAGTCGCGCGCGTCGCCGTCGGCGTGCCGTAGCCCGCGCGTCAGCCGGGGCCGATTCCGGTCGGCGAGGATTCTCGCTGACTCATGGATCCTCCCCGTCGTGGAGACGGAGGGCGAAAGGTGAGTGGGTGTATTTGCGTGTGCGTGGCTATGTGTGGTATGTGAACAACCGGAACCGGCGTTCGGCGCGGGCGAGCGACTCCGTCGTCGCGACGCGCCGATCCTGCCGTTTCGTTTTACAGCGTCGTAATCCATTGCGTGGTGTCAGAGAAGTTGCCGAGGCAAGTACAATATATAACTAGGCATGCAACAATACTTGGAGTAGTACTTTTCTCGAGTTAAAAATAGCGATCAACCAGTCAATCTCTCTCTCTCTCTCTCTCTCTCTCTCTCTCTCTCTCTCTCTCTCTCCCTTGATCTCCCACATATTTCTCCTCTCTTTCTCTCTCACATACATTCTCTCTCGCGGTTGCTTTTTTTACTCATTAAGTAACATTACTTGGGCCCAGGAAGAATGTAATTTTTCTTCTTTTTTTCCTTCCTCCCTTTCTCGCGAAAGTTACACAGAGTCGCCGCACGCCGCTAATGTCTTTGCTCTTGTGTCGCGTGTGCCTGTGTGGCGGTTTGGTGTATGTGTGACGTTGTGTGAGTAGTTATTAAAAAAAGATACCCCCTCCTCTCCAAGTGCACACGGATAATCGTCTTTTCTCTCTACTTTTGCTTCCTACGGTTCAATCTCCTCTTTCTTTCTCTATCTTTCCATCTCCCTCCGCTCTCTCTTCCCTCTCCTCTCCTGTACGGGGGAAGATTTGCTCTTGGTGTTCGACCGACACAGAGAAGTACTCGCGACGGATGCGTCTGCGATTTCATACCGGTCGAAGAATCCCGTGTACGCGAGTCAAATAGCAAGTAAGATAACGTGGCGAGCCTCTCTCTCTCTCTCTCTCTCCCTCGAGGGAGAGAAAAGCACCGTTATCATGTACGTTATCACGAATGTTACGGAGACGGATTTTGATGAAAAGTCAAACAACGTAATCTCTCTCCGAGTCTAGGTCGAGCTTAAGAAAACAGTACTGTTGATCTCAGAGAGTTGCATTTTCCCCTCACCGGTCCCCCCCCCCCTCTTTCTCCATTCTTCCTTCTCTTCCGTGTTATCTCGACCGAAGAGTCCGCGGCTGGCACCGTGGAGGAACACCGGCGCGGGTTTTATGCGTGTGCACAGAACTCCGCCGTATGCGACGGAGAAAATCGCGCTTTTGTCTCGCGCGAGAGCCCTTGCCGAGGATTTCACGGTCGGCATGAAATCGCAATCGTCATCCATCGGACGCGGGGTCTCGACCGGACGAGGGTCCGCCGCGCGGTACAGCGCCGCGGATCTCTTCGCGTTGTCTTCGTTGTTGTCGGCGACGCTCGCCGCGGTCGGCACAATTAACGCGCGCTGCGAACGTACAAAAATATATTATGTGACATCTATAATCCGCTATAGGTTTCTAAAAACTCGTCTCTTTCTCTCTCTTTTTTTTTTTTCTTGTTATTAATTCACCGGCGATCGACGTCGTCGAGCGCCGCCGAGGGAGAGCCTGCGCGCGCGCACAACCCCTCTCCTTTTTCTTCCTCGCGGGAACCCTTCCGGCCGGACGAGACCTTGTTCCGTTTCGTCGTTTCTCCCTTCGTTTCTCTTTCTCTCTCTCTCTCTCTCTCTCTCGTCCTTCTACCTCGTAGATCGCCCGTCACGAGAAGTCGTTCAGCGTGGAAAGGAAATTGTCGGGAAAAGGCGGGGGACGTTCGAGCGAATTACGTCAAGAGTCGGCCAAGTCGCAGTTCCGCGTGAAATCTCCGCGTTGTTGCGCGCGGATTAAAGAGAGAGAGGATCAAATGTGTGCGCGCGGGTTATAAATAATTAGGAAAATATACTTGTCTGTAATTAATCTTATTAACCCTTCCGTCGGCGCGAGGAGCAGAGGTCCGACTGACTTCCCTCGTCGCTCTTAACTTTCGCAAGCGTCTACTAAGCTCCTTCCTCGGCTACGAACTTCCAACAGTCTCCGCGTGTCGTTTTCTCAAACCGGAAAAACCTTTCCAACTCGTCGAGCAGGGAAAGGCCGCACAGGCGCACGCGTGCGGAAGGGTTAGTTGAAGGTTTGGTAATTCGCGACAAAAGCGACCGCCCAGGCCGTTGTTTGACTTAACCGTATCGGCTTCTAAGACAAAGTTGCTACAAGCGGTGTCCTCCGCTCCACGAGCGGAGCGTTTTTGATCTCTTGCTTCGTTTTCCTCGACTCGCCCGTCGCTCTCTCGACTGCCTCACCTTTACTGGAACGGAAAGGAAACGATCCCCGATATTATTGACTATTGACGGGACGTCGATCGGAGCCGCGCGGCCGCGGCCGTACGAAAGCAATTCTGAATCGCCGCGGAGGAAACTGCAGCGGTCGCGCGCCCACGGTAACGAGGACACCGCGCGCGCGCGCGCGCGCGTTCGTGGTGAACAGCTATAGCTATGCCGTAAGAGAGAGATCACTATGATTGAAAAACAGGAACACAGTGCTACGTAACGCACACACACGTTACAGTGGAATGTACTGATCACCATCGACGGGGGAGAAAGCCTCGCCCTAGGAGGCGAGTCCTCTCGTCGATCATACTTGCATGATAAAGCGCACATAATGATACACGCCTACAGAGGAATTGATAGCAGACGGAAACCCGACCGCGACGTGAGAATTCGCCATCGGGGGTGAGAGGAAAGAGAGACACGCTCGACGGGTCGGTTCGGAAAGACGACGCGGCTCGAAAGATTCCGGAATGATTGTTTCACGACTATTTTAATCATCACAAAATCCACAATATACAAGATATACAAGTTACAATATAAATTAATTACAAGAAGCGTTACCTCGTCCTTTCCCTTTTTCTTTTTCTCCGTCCGGCTGATAATCGGAATGATTCGTAATGAGTAATTGCGCGTGTACGCAACAAGGACGCGAGAAATCGTTTGCCGGTAATTATATCGCCTGAAAATAGAGTTCCCGGGGCTCGACCGAGTGCATTTCTCTCAAGAGCTGCGTTTCCACTCGATGCATCAAAATGGACTTTTCTCAAAAGAGTGGATATTGATTTTTCTGAACCGCGCCGTCGACGTCCATGGGGCAGGGGAAGGGGCACAGCCAGCTCGCAAGGCAAGAGACGTAGAGAAATAAGAATAAGACCAATGCTCGTGCGTAATGTGAACTGAAAATATTATTAAAAAGCATTTTACAACAAAAAATAACTAAAAAACAAACAAAAATCGATTTACAATTAAATTAAGAACAGGGGAGTTTTATCGTCTAAAAATAATAATATAATAATATAATAATATTAATAATAATAATATTAATAATAATAACATAACAAACCAGTACAAAAAAAAAAGAAGAAGAGAGACTGACAGTGAAGAGTGATAGTGTTTCGTATTTTTCTTTTTTTTTCTTTTTTTTTCGAGACGGTGTTTCCGCTTCTCATCTCGCGCGCGTCTCAGGGCGTCTCGTTTCCTTTTCTTTCTGATAACGCGACAGCACGAATGTGGGAACAAGCGCGCGCATATATATATAAAACACACACACAGGCACGTAGTAACATATACACACACACATGTACATCTCGGTTCTTACTTTGGGAGCAATGCGTAGGAATGGAATTTAATCTCTTGTCTTGTGGCGCACGTCGCGCAGTCGATCACTGCGACGTGCGGCGGTAGTGACGGCTAGCTGGCAAGGTGGCGCATCGTCTCTTTTTTGTGTTTTCTTTTTCCCTTTTCGATTCTCGTGACAACGCAATGAATACGCAACGATAATCATTGAATAGTAGTAGTAATAGTAATAGTAATAATAATAATAATAATAATAATTATAATTGTAACTAATTAATTGATAATTATAAAGTAACTAATTGTCATACAATAGCAATAATAATCATCATCATAATAAATGATAATAAAGACAAAAAAATAATGGTAATAATATTAACGCTACAGATCAACGTACACTCTTAGGCGGTATAAATACTAATGGACAGATACCTCGTGATGCCGTCTCTCTCAATGGTGCGAATCTATCCTTCGCGCATCCCCCGAAAACCTCTCGCTCTCACAAGCCTGTGTTTTCGCTGAAAGGGATCGAGAATTTTCACGGGTGAACTCTTTTGCGCGCCGTCCTCGTCGAGTTATATAAAAGAGATTCAGATCGAGAGGCGCGCGCGCATGCACGATTATTAATTACGTAGAAACGACTCGGCGGCTCGTCGAAAGGGTGGAAAAAACCGGAGAAAAATTTACGGGATCGGAGCCGGCGTGGAAATATCGCCGAGTCGTGCGACTGGAAACGAAAGATCGGAACGGAATCGTCGCGGAGAGAAATACGGCGGCAAGTGGTCGAGATGATTTCGAGACCTCTGCGTCTCATTTTTTTTCTATCTTCCTTCGCGAGCATATATGTATATTGGAGGGGGATGGTATCCGTCGTCCTTGTTCGTCCTTATGGATCGTCTTCGTAGCAAACGGACGTAACACCGATCGGAAAATGTGTCCAGGGCAATTTCTCGGTCGAAGACGCGACGCGTGGAAGGTCGTCTCTTCCATTCGGGATGACAAACGGCAGGTGCGCACTACGGTGAGTTGGCGACCGTGATCTTGGCCGTTGAATTGAAAGAACACAGCAAAGGACGCATCCGCGGATTATACTCGACGGGAGAAGAGTGAGGCGAACAAGGACGTGGATTCCACGACGATCACCTGGTTCGGTAGTCCTCGACAACAATTCGCGTAAAGATCGCAGGATGCACCATTCAACTTTTCCGTTTCCGCACGTGTGCGAATCTCGCATCTCTCTCGAATATCATCGACTTGGTTGATCGCGCGCGGAACCTAAGGTCTCTAATTCACGAGCGTGGATTACGAAGACCTCGTGTCTATTACAACTCGATTCAACCGAAGCAAAATACTTAGACCTAAAATCGCGGTATTATCGATGAAGAGATTACAGTTAGTACAAAAAGAAAAAAAAAAAGAGAAAGAAACGCTTGGATAACTCGTATTTTTTTCTTTGCAAATATCATGTACATATATATATATATAATCTAATAATAACGCTATAAATTCGTACTGGCTGATTCAAAAACTCAAGACGTTCGGATTAAAGTCCCGCTGAAGCTCATCACAAGGATTTACGTTTACGGATCCGATCATGACTACCGAATCAAGCAATCGGGAAGCAGCGATAGCCACGAATTGTCCCAGGATCCTCGCGGCCGCGTCCGATCGCGAAAATAATACCGAGATGTAGGAGCGTTCAAGCGTAGCACGCGTAAGACGCTCCTTTTCGGTCGAGCCGCGAAGGGTTAGCCGTTAATAGACCATCGTTTCAACTGTGTGATTCACTCGTTTCATCACTCGCTTAAAAAGTCCGTCACTTTCGTTTGAAAAGGAAAAGAGTATTCGCGACTCGACTGAATAAACCATGTTCCCCGCTCCGGTCGCGCTCGTCCGACGGAACAACGGAAAATCAAGCTTCGTAAAACGCACCGCCGATCATCAAAAGCATCATCACTGTGTAAAATTCGTCGTATCGTTCGAATGACGTAAGAACTCTCTTCCCGTAACCGAACGGATGAGACGACGAACGCGGGAGCCCGGAAATTTTGGACCGGCCCAGGGACTTTCCGAAACTTCCGGCGCTATACGCGAGAGCGTCAAACAACGTTTCGCCTCTATTGCGACAATCGACGACCGAGAAGGAGATCCTGGTGCAATTCGCTGATCCCGGATGACCGAGTAATGGAGCCGTTAGAAGGACGTGCCAGCTAGCCTTTTTTCCCCTCGCTAAATTCCGGGGGAGCGTACGATTCACGTATCGCGTCGATCAACGAAAATCGCATCGAAAGCCGCGATACATCAATAATAATATAATAATAATAATAATACAATAATATTAATAAAAAAATAATATATAATAATAGTAAACATGCATGGAGTCGCGCGGTGAATAGCCGTGGAACTTCCGGCGACCCATCCAACAAAATATATTAATACTATAGGTTCGAAAGGGTTGGGGATGGATAGAGGGGGGAAGGAGGAGGAGGAGGAGAAGAATGAATAACGCCGACGCGAGCCTAAAACGGTCGCACGCGGCAATTCGGGTGAGGCTCGGAGAAGGTGGCCAGTGTGGCTTCTTATCGTTGACGGGGTGGATATGGTGAGTTTCGTCGAAATCCGAGGACGCAAGCTACAACAACAACACACGTATGTTTTTGCTAAGCATAGAGCGACGCAAGAGGAGATGAGAGGAACAGAGTTGTGCGCTTCTCAGGCTGCGACAACGTAACTAAAAGTGCGTATACGGAGAGAACGAAATGTACAGAGCTAGAGGGAGAAGAAAAGTCTTATACGATCAACTCTACGACAACTAGTGGCTACTATACGTTCCGCTAAAAATACCTTACTACAGTATATAATAAAGAAGTTAAAATAAAAAATAATAATAATAATAATAATAATAATAAAGAAAGAAAGAAAAACGAAGGTTTCATCGATGGGGTGGGAAACATTTGGAGAAAGCGATGATCCGTCTCTCTCTCTCTCTCTCTCTCTCTCTCTCTCTCTCTCTCTCTCTCTCTCTCTCTCTCTCTCTCTCTCGCCCTCCCCTTCTCTTTCTCGTTTGCGTTCGTTGATCATGACAAACAACAGCCATGATCGACGGCCGTCCGCGTCATTCTGTCACGATGGGCGAACCGATGGAACGGAGTTTCGCGACAACAACGTAGCTTACGTAACGTTGATGTACGTTCTGCGCAGGAGGGGGGGGGGCCCACACATGATCAGACATCCCCGATGACGTGTGGGGAGAACGTTTTTCCCCCGAGATCTTTACCTTGCGATATCGCGCTATTCCGATCTCCCTGTCCGCGAACCTCCGATTCCTCGTCGATTATTCGCCTGCTCGACGAGCTCGCAATCTCCCGCTTGCTTGAGAGTCCCCAGTACTTCGTTCCCAGCGCGGTCCCCCGGAAAATGGCGCTTCGGAAGGTATCAATCGGGACACACGAGGATGTATCTCTTCGAGCGATGGATCTCTAGCGTGTTCGCCGGCAAGAGGGGACGCGAACACGACGAAGCTCGGCGTAAACTCGAGGAGGGAAAATGGGAACGAAGGGCGCGCCTGGCTCTCGGCTGACTACGAACGTGAGGAAAGCGAAGAAGGAAGAAATAAGGAATACTGGCGAATACTGGAAAAGAGGAGCGAATGTGTGCGCGAAAAGTGTGTGCACGGATATATTTTCGAGAAATTATGCGATGCAGCTCACGTTCATCACGAAATTCCCGGCGGCGGGGACGGTCGGTGTGATCGTCACATAAACGAGAGAGAGAGAGAGAGAGAGAGAGAGAGAAGGCGATTTCGTGCGAAGTCCGAAAGAAAAGGTCGGCTTCGAGTGGAAAATTTAACAACGCACCACCCGATCCGCAACGACACGGTCGTGCTTCTATGACAACGTGAATTTTTCGACGACTCGCGCGCGATGATTGCCAACTGATCGACCGTCGTCTTCGATCCTTCGTGATCTCCAATTATCGGCGCGCTCAAGGTCTGCGAGCGTTACGAGGAAAGTAAATACTCCGCAAGATCCCCGCCAATTCTACGGTTCGCCGAATGGACTCTCCGCGGAACCGGCGGTGATTTTTGCCCGGACACACCGGACTGATTTAGTTCCATCGTAATGCGCAACGCGCAATTCGTGCGCGAGACGCGCGATTTCGCGCACGATTCACCAATCTGCACGAAATCGCTGTCCAAGTGTGCGCGCACGAATCGCACTTGACCTTGAAACACACGCCTTTCGTTTTGTGCGTGAGTTTTAGCGTTACTTAAGAAAGCTCGTTGTGCAAACGTTTCGTCTCGGCGAGGCGCTCGGATCAATTGTTTGACGTCTCGTCCCGATCGACCGACCGATGGGGAGCCAAACGATTATCCGTACGCGCGCACGCAAATTTTGGAAACGGAGAAGAAACCGTCGCGAGAGTAATCGCGCACCGCGCGTCGATCGGTGTGCGGATTAGTTTGACCGCCAGCAAAATCAAGCAATCCAGATACTCGGACAATCGGCGCGACGGACACGCGTGCCATCGAGATGTGTGGCTGTGTGTTTGTGTGACGTCGACGGTTTATCATGTTGGTTGATTGGTTGGAGCAAACGAAGGATCGCTGCGTCCTCTGCGGGACGTGCGGGGTCCGACCAGGTTGCAGGAGAGTTGTCGAAAATCCTTGCGTGTGCGGTCCTTAGTGGAGCGCTATCTTTATCTGGAGAGAGAGAGATAGAGAGAGAGAGAGAGAGAGAGAGAGAGAGAGGAGGCGGGAGAGAGAGTGAATGCACGATTAAACGGACGACTACAGCGGGGCACCGACGCGTTCCTCGGGATCTTCGCGAGATTTCGAGCGCGTTTCGCAGGCGAGTCGACCGGGCGACGGCATCCGTCAGCCGGTCGTTCTGCTCGATCGAGTCTTCGGCAGGCCGAAGACGAGGGACGTCGCGTCGACGATTCGAGTACGGGTGCGATCCCGATCAGTCGGCGGCGAAAATGTCGAGAGCGTTGGCCCGAGGGGATGTCCGCGACGAGCGGAAACGCGCCTCTCGGTGTTGGTCGTCGAGTCGGAGTGGTGTGTCTCAAAGAGAGAAGATCGTTGATTTTCAGAATGGAACGGGGGGTGTGACAATGTGGTCGAGGGTATGACGATGCGTGTGTATTTTCGTGTACACGTGTGTACAGGGAGAGTGAGAGCGTGTGCATGTGTGAGGGGAGGAGGAGCGGAGGGAGGCAAGGCGAGGGGGAAGTGACTAGCGGCGGCGAGCTCTACAACTAAACAACAACAACAGTATTTTCAGTATTATAACAACATTAACAAGTACGTTTCCTTTTTTTTTGTGCGCACGCGCGTGTGTACTGGGGCGCGTACACGCGAAGAAAGGTGTGCACGCACGCGAGCGCGCGAATAGTCGGGACCAGGGCTCTGTGATTTACGTCCTCCTCTCTCTCTCTCTCTCTCTCTCTCACACACACACACACACACGCACACACACAAACACACTCTCTCTCTCTCTCTCTCACGCTTTCTATCGTCGCGGCTCCTCAAGATCCAACATCGCGAGGGCGCACCGCCCGCGTCGGGGCCACGTGACGCGGGCGCGCGGCACAAAGTAGAAGAGCACTCGCGGAGACTCGCGAGGAGGGTGCGTGGATATCGAAGGGGAGCGCGCGCGTGCTTTCTCGCATACCGTCGATGATATCCGTGGCTCGCCAGAAGTACACAGGAGCGGCTCGGGGAGTTCCTCCGGCGAGGAGGAGGCTTTCTCTCAGTTTTTCTCTTTTTTCCTGCGCTCTTGCCGCGAGAACACGACACACTCACGCTCGCTCGGAAGTCGATACCTCGAGAATAATCACGCATCATAGTGCGCGTTCCTCTCGTCCTCTCCCTCCCCCCCCCTCTCTCTCTCTTTCTCTCCTCATGGTCGGCGGTCTGTGAGGCGCCTGCTGCTGGTGATGGTCGCTTGTCGGTGATGATAGGGCGGACGAAGAAGAAGGCGATGGTGGTGATGATGAGTCGAGCGTACGCGAGCTCAGTTATCGTAGTTGGTGGAACGGGAGTAGGAAAAGAAGAAGACAGGCGAGCATGAGTGAAAGGAAAGATCGACGAGGAGATCGCGCTGCTGCTGTTGTTGCTGCTGCTGCTGCTGCTGCTGCTGCTGCTGTTACTGATGGCGACGATCCCACGGCCGGCCAACGACCAAGAGGAACGAGGATGATACGATCACGAGCGTCGGCGTTGGGGCATGACGATCATCGCCGTCGTCGCGACGTGTCGTTGGTCTACATGCCGATCGGCGGCACTTGCACGTAGCGGTATATGTACAGCCGGTAATCCTTGCTGGCCAACACAACCGAGCCGTCGTCCATGAGGGCTACGTCGAAACACTGCGCGTGCTTCACCTTGCTCTCGAGGGCGGACACCAACTGGCCCTCCTGCGTGAAGATGGTCAGGTTGAAGTTATTGTGATTGTCCGCGATCAGTATCTCGCCCACGCCGTTGATGCCCACACCAATTGGATAATTGGTGACACCCTCGCCGCCGATCTGACGCAGGTAAGCGCCGTCGTAGTTGAAGACCTTGACGCAGTGCGCGCGATTGTCGCTGATAAAGATCTCTTGCTTGTCGTTCACCACAACGCCGTTCGGGAATTCCAGGTGCTTCGAGCAGCCGAACTTCTGCAGCACGTTGCCGGATTGGTCGAAGATGATGACGCGCATCACCTTGCACTCGACCACTACAATCCGTCCCTTCGAGTCGACGGTGACACCGCGCGGGTGCTGCAAAATAGTCGCGCCGAACTTGCGCACGAACTGACCGTACTGGTTGTAGATCTGTATCTGATGAGTAGGCGAGCGTTCAGTGACGATGATGTCGCCGGATGTCTTGACGACAGCGACTCGGTTAGGGTAGAGCAGTTGGCCATCCCGCTTGCCGCATTCGCCAAATTGAAACTTGAACCTGCCTTCCTTGTCGAAGATCTGGATGCGATGATTGTTCGTGTCAGCGACGATGATGTCGTTTTGCGCGTTCACCGCAACGCCCGACGGCTCCGTGAATTGGCCCTCCATGACCCCGAATTCACCGAATTTGCAGTGGTAGATCATCTTGTTCCGCTTGATCTGCGACTTGGGTGGGAATATCGCGGTGGCAGACATCAGCTTCGATGTGAGATCGAGGACGGACTCGCCGGGTGCGGCGTTCGCCGCTACGGCCACCGCCGTGGGCATCGCGAAGTGATCGTTGGTCGTCACCACCGGATAAGCATCGCTGCCGCCGTTGCTCCATTTTTCGTAAGGGTTCGCATTCATCCCATTCAAGTTCACGTCGCTGATCGGCGTGGAGAACGGGCCCAGACTGTTGGCCGAGCTGAAACGCTTAGTGATGACAGTGCTAATGGTGTCGATCGACGAGGGTGACGACGACGAGCCGCAACTCAGGCTCGACGAGATCAGGCCGTTGCTGTACGATCGGTCCAACAAGAGACCGCCCAATGAATTGGCGTTGCCCGGGCCGTTGCTGATGTTGCTGCCGCCGCCACCCCCACCGCCGCCGCCGCCGCCGCCGCCGCCGCCACCGCCGATGCCGTTGCTCGAAAGAGCGGTCGGTCGCGCGATCGGTGGCTGCTTGCCGATCGGACCGGCACTGTTCTCGCTGTTACTCCGCACATAGCCGAAGGTGTTTCTCACGCCCACCTGTATCGCCTGATAATTGCTGACGAACTCGAGATCCGCGGTCTGGCTAGCAATATCGGGCGTGTAGTTGAGCAGCTGCTGCAGCTTCGTGTCGAGGATCTTCTTGATCATCAGCACCTCGATCACGTGCGCGTACTTGGTGACGCGCTCAACGAAGTCGCACGTCGTCAGGATCTTGTCGGACATCTCGGTGGCCTTCTGCGTGATCATGTTGAGGGAGAGCTGCTTCGTCGAGAACACCGACTCGAGCTCCTTTAGCAGCTCCTGCTTGCGCTCGTCCAACATCGACCGGTAAAATTGGAAGGTCTCGTTGATCTCGCTCTGCGCCTTTTGGTATTGCTTCTGAAGATGCGCCGAGTTCTGGTCCGCCGCCTTGATCGAGGCGCGCGCATCCGCCGCCTTCGCGCGGCACTCTTGGACCAACCGTACCACCGACTCCAGCTGCTGCGGTCCCACCTCCGAGATGTAGCCGCAGTCGTGCAGCGGCCCCGAATGGTCGGTTAACGAGCACTCCTTGCAGGCCAGGACGGTGCAATTGCGACAGAAGTACTTGAGCACCTCTTGCTTATGTCGCGTGCAATAGTGTACCTTCTCGACGTTACCACCATTGTTGCCGTTGCCGTTGATCACTAGATTGTTGCTACCACCACTACCACCGTTACCACCGTTACTACCACCGTTACCGCCGCCACCACCACCGCCCCCACCGCCACCGCCGCCGCCGCCGCCACCACCGCCGCCACTGCCGGCGCTGCTGCCGTTGGTGCACTTGGGCAATTCTGTAGTCGTCGGGGTCGTGCCACAGCCACCGCCACCGCTCACCGTCTCCAGCTTGGCCTCGGCCAGGGTGGATATTCGGTGGCCCTCGAAGCAGTGCATGAATTGGTGCGCCATCACGCAATGCGAGCAGAGAAAGTTGGCGCAGTCGAGACAATGCGCCACAGCGTCGGGCTCAGAGTTGAACTTGCAGCCGGTGCAGCGGACGTTACTACCGGTACCTCCTAGGCGGCAACGCGAGCACGGCCCTTCGCTCGACTTTGGTGCGTCGAAGCAAAGGTCGCAGCTGTCGACGTCGCAGATCGCCGAGTCGCTCGCGGGCGGCGAACTACCGCTCACCGTTAAAGGGGACAGCGAGTTCAGGGACCCGATGGAATTCGCGCGCGATCCCAGCGAGTCTGTCGGCGAGGCCATCTTCAGTCAACCGGCATCCCTGCAAGCAGAAAAATCACGAGTCCTTTACATTTTCGTCGGACAACTCATATCATCGCTGTATCAGCGATGCTGATACATTGACACTTATTCGTGTATGCGACGTATGAATTTACATTTATATCCCTTAAAGGCTACCGTGGCTGAGAATCTCACCCCATGCGAGAATTTTTCATCTTACTGAAGGACATAACCACGCTGACAACATTGATTTTGTAGGTATCTATCTGCACTATCAGTAGCGACAACATTATGATAAAACAGATTAATTCCCGCATATATTTTGCTATAAATATAACAAAAAAGTTAACTTGAGGTGATATTTGATGGTAGCTTTTAAGGGATATATATATAACGATCTATTTGTGTACATCTTCTTAATTTTACAATATGGACATTCATATGTAAAACAGTTTCCCACGCACAATTTTCAAATGTTTTGAGCAACATCAGTAAGATAAAGACGGTACCAATGACGAGACACGTGGCTGAATATTCTTGTTATTTTGGCCTGTAAACGCGCCATAGAATAAAAAGTACATAAACGAATAAATATATTTTTATACGCTGAAATCTAAATATTCAAATTTCCAGGCCAAAACGATAGGAATGCCCGCGGTTGATCCCGCGACATTGGTAGTTTTACTTTATATCCTAGTCAGAGGCAAGCTAGACGGTATACCTTCGCAGTGTACGAATGTTAATACCTTCCCGAGAAATGTCCTGCATATATAGCGCGCCCCCCTCCCCGTTGCCCGCACGATGTTGACAAATGTGTTATTTTACACGTACAACGTCGCCAGGACGTAGACGACGACTTTCGTTCGAGCGGAGTTTCGGGACAGCCGAATTCGGGTATCGAATCTCCTGCGACGATCGCGAATCGACGGTCGTCCTTCGAGAAGGATTTTATAGAAATATCCGTGTATCACTACGTCCCGATATATTTCTGGAGACCCCGGGCGTCATGACACGCCTCCCTCGGCGTCACTTTTCGAGCTCACATTTTGTTCGCTCATACTTCCGACTTGCCAGCATCGATCGGCGTTGAAGCCTTTATTAAAACGTCACCGATATTAACACACCGCTCGGGCTTAGCGCGTCATACAACGTCAGCTACGTTCATTTTATCCCGCTTATGCGATACTCGAGCACTGACACGCGCTAATAACGGGTGCTCCGTCGAAAGTACCGAAAGCATCTCTCTCCGTGAGATTTCCTCAGCGGCAAGATAATATTTGCCGTATTGTTTCGCGTTAGCCATCGGCGGCTACGTCTGCGGTAATGATACGGTAATACCGGCAATAACGTTATGATAATGTTCAACTATCGGCCGCTGCCGGCTCAGCTCGCTCAGGATAAAGAGAGCCTCGTCTCTCTCTCTCTCTCTCTCTCTCTCTCTCTCTCTCTCTCTCTCTCTCTCTCCTCTCTCTTTCTCTCTCTCTCTCTCTCTCGCTCTCTCTCGTCGCGGTCGTTGCGCGTAATCGCTATTACGAACGTTTCCTCCATCTCGGAGGTCCCTTTTATTGCGATTCCCACGCGCACGTACAACATGCTGCTGATCTCTCTCTTCTCCCATCATACCACTCCCCCTCCTCTCTCTCTCTCTCTCTCTCTCTCTCTCTCTCTCTCTCTCTCTCTCGCTTTTATTCCCTCCGCAACACTCCGTGCTCATAGCAGTTATATTCGCGTCGACTCGCGCGACGTGGAGAAGTCTCGTCCCTCTAATTAAATCGCTCGAGCCGGACGGCCATGTTTCACCTGGCAGCTAGAAGAGGAGAGAGATCGGCGGAGCCAAGGGACCAGACGGAGGGAAGGGAGCGACGCGCGCCGCCGGCGAAGGAAAAGGAAGAACGAGGGAAGACTGGTATAGACCGCGCGCGCGCGAGTCCAAGGTCACGAATGCGAAGGTTATCGTACTTCTCTCCTACTCGGCTGGTCGAGCGAATTTATCGGATACCGTGCGACGACACGCTCGCTTTTCCACGCTCGGGAAGGAGGAGGGGGAGGAGGGGGAGGAGCGACGGCAGCAGCGAGGAAGATAAAACGCCCGAGGTAGAGGAGCGACGAGGAAGACAAAGAGAGGGAGAGGAGAGCTAGAGGGCACTCTCTTTTCAAGAACCTAAACCTCAACTTCAACGTGCGAAGATCCGTCTACGCGATGGGGATATGCTTTCCCGAGTAAAACCCGGCCGTGTTCGCCGGCGATAGAGAAAATTTCCATGGAAGAAATAATTGCGCGAGCTTATCTTTGCTTATTTTGCTCTTAGTTGAGTGAGATAAGCGATCCAGGTATTCCGAGCTGACATATCGAAAGTAATGCAGAGAGAGAGAGAGAGAGAGAGAGAGAGAGAGAGAGAGAGAGAGAGAGAGAGAGAGAGAGAGAGAGAGAGAGACATCAAATGAGATAGAGAGATCGCCGAGAAGAAGCGGCAGAGCGAAGAGAAGAAGAACAAAGAACATCTGCTCTCAGCTCCAGGAAACGCTTCTGAAAAGTTCCGAAGCCAGCGGAGCATCCGCGTGAGCGCGAGTACGCGAGCGCGCCGTCTTCGTGCAAGAATTTCGATTAACTCCCGAGATAAAAGGTGAACGCTCCTGAGGGAAGCGTCCGTGGAGCCGAGGTCGCCGGAAAGCCGCGTTTAACATGCCGAGGCCGGAGAAGTTGCGAGAAGAGAGCGTAGCGTGCGGCGCGACCTGTGCCGGCGCGAGCGTGCGACAGATTCGCACCGAGTGTAAGCCCGCGCGCGTAAAAAATGCGATAGAACAAACACGATTGAATAAAACAACGAAAGCAACATAAAGAAAATAAATAAATAAAGCAACATAAAACACGCGCGAAATATTCCCCAGCCGGCGGATTGAAATACATTTTTGTCCCTTTATACGTCGGCGATGATTGTCCTCCCGCCCCCCTCCGCGCGCAGAAATTTCTGCGCGAGAGCTCGTGGAAAGGTTCAAAGAGATATTTTTCTGCGCGACATTGTAAATTCACCGAGACTCTTCAACGAAAGCACCGTGCAAGTTTCGCGTGCGTGACGGAGAAAAAAGGCGATCGCGCGAGTCCTTAAAGCGTATTTCGTTACGGAAGTTAGCTCCATTTATGGTGCACACTGTCCTGTGAATATCCTGTGTACACAGCAAACAAGTTACGAAAGCTTTGACTACATTTCTCCGTTTGCTCGCGTACACGCGTTTATTTTTCGAGATAAAACCCACGGCGCATCGAGCGGACCGAGCAATCTCATTCGTCGCGTGTGCTCTCTTTTTCCTTTCGTTCATCTTACCATCTGCCTTTTAACGTACGTTCACCTCGCTCGTCGAAGATCGTTAACGAAGAGAGAGAGAGAGAGAGAGAGAGAGAGGATAAAAGCGAGATATTTTCAAGGACCACCGTACGAGTGTGACAAATCACACACGCCGCGGCGGGATATAACGAGTTAATTCTTTTCCCGCGCGCTTGCTCACGCGCGCCTTGAATAAAAAATGCTCCGGGGATCAGGGAGAGTAAGCGAGCGCGCAGCAAAGCGCCAGTGTCCTTGGCGAGGATAATTCCCGTTATCGAGGCACCGTTGCATTTTCGAACGCGGATCGCAGCCCCTCGGTTGAATGCACCGTGGGAAGGGGTGGCGGACGGCGCGTCTGGTTTCCATGGAAACGCTGCATCGACCGCCCCAACCCTTCGACCAGGGTTGTTCCGTCGAGGGTCGAGTCCGTTGCCACTCGTGGTGCCAGTGTGGTGGTGCTGATGGTAGGGTGGTGGTAGTGCCGGTACTAGTGGTGGTGGTTAGTGGTGGTGGTGGTGGTGCGGGGAGGGAAGGAGAGAGAGAGAGGGAGGGAGAGAGAGAGAGAGAGAGAGAGAGAACCGGGGGAACCGGCAACCGCCCCTCGGGAACGGTAACCGTTGGTGCATCGCCCTTCGACGGAGCCCGATGCTGCTGCTGCTGCTGCTGGTGATGGTGTGCGTGCTTTTCTACAGGATGATCGGGAAGGAACTCGCTGGGACCAATGCAGGAGCTATCATCGCGCACGAGGGAGCGAGGTCCGGCGAAAATTTCCCTCTCGAAACAAGTGCCCTGCGGTTGGCCTTCTCTCCTTTTTTTTTTTCCACGCGAGCGAGCGAGCGAGTGAGAGGAAGAGAGAAGGAGAGAGAGAGCGTTGTCCGATCGAGTTAAAACTTTCGCGATTCGCCGCGTCTGTAAACATCGCGGTCTCGCCGATCCCTTCGACGATCCTTCTCGACAGTCGCTCTCTCTTGTAACCTTCCCCGCGGCGCTCGCGGATTTGGTCGGATTCACACTAGCCTGGTCTGAACGGCGGCAGACAGAACACCCCGTCGACCCTTCGTCACAGTCGCATCTTCGCTATTCCTATCGAGAAGAAATATTTGACGGAGGATTCACGGACTGCCGCCGTCTGTCGTCGTCTAGATCGACGGTAATTCGAATCCGGGCCCTCTCCGGGTCTCGGATTGTTCCGCGGAACAATCGACGGAAGTTCGACAGCGTGTACTACTTAACGCGAGGCTCGCAGACTCGATGGCTCGACTTCGTCCCGTTCGCGCGGGCCTCGAGACTACCCGAGTCTTCTCTTCGAGCCCTTCGCATTCGCGTCCTCGAACTTTCGCAACGTCATTAGAACGTAATCCGATTTTCCACAGAGAATCACCTACAAATTGCTCGGCGCATCGTCCGTGGAGAACGAGAATCTCAACGGGACGAGTCCCCGTGATCAGCGGAAACTCCCCAGGACCAAGGATGTTTATAACAACCGCGTGTTGAACATATTATCTCGGCCGCCATGCCCAGCGCATCTCTTCGCTCATATTCCACACGGTAATTTCAATGTCACTGCCGGATGATTCTTCAGCCCCAAACGAGGGGAGCGGCCATCAGTCGCCCCCTCCACCCTCGTTTGATTAACGTTATTTCACTCGACGGGCGAGCATCGACCGCGATCGATACACGGCACGGCGGCGGCGGCGGCGGCGGCGGCGGCGGCGGC